TGGCTACAATATCTGTAAGACATTTGCTAGCTCACCAATACCCTACGTATAGAGAAATAAGATTGCCTGAAAATGCTATAGAGTGGATACAACGACATACTAATCGAAGTTTGAGAAAAGTCGAACTTTACAAACAGCTTTGTGATGAAAATTTAATTGATCCAAAAGTACATACATACCAACAGATATATTACTAGGCGCATAAATTTTCTACAAAGTTGTATGTTACTGATGTAGCTAACCAAGTAAAGTCGTCTATGAATTTTTTGGAACAGAGAATTAGTAGATGCGGAGTATAAAATCATACAATACCGAGAAAATGATTTCGTACGTTCACTCGGATTTGCTACTCCATTTCTTCAAAAACTGAAAGGCAATATTAATGAGGTTATTATTGATTCAACCTTCAAAACAAACCAAGAAAAGTTTGAGCTTTTTGTAGTAAATGCCAATTGTGGTGGATATTGTCTTCCCCTTGCTTATTTATATTTAGATACATTTACGGCATCAGAAGAACGACTTTTAGATCCCGATAATATTGTATGCACAAGGATTGATGTGCTTAAAGAATTTTTCACCGGCTTGTGAAATGAAGGAGTTCTACCAATGTTCATGCTTCTAGACAAAGATTTCGGTGAGATTATGGCTGTTTTGCAGGCTTGGTCTTAAGCAAAAATTCAGCTTTGCCTTTGGCATGTAGAACGTGCAATTGAACGCAAGCTAAAAGAAAATAAATCTCGAAAAAGTCAGTATTCAGCACAAAAAGCACACAAGGCAAGTCTTGAATTTGGATTTATTAGTCCAACTTGGCTTCTTGAAGAACCACAAAGCAAAATATGTTCTAAAGAATCAATAAAGGAATTAATAGGATTAATTAAAAGACATGCATTATTGCATCCACTTATTCCTATATGTAAAAATATCTTTCTCACCTCAAAAGAAATTAGATACCAAAGCATTTTAGAAGTCTACCAATTTTGTCATCAAAAAAATCTTGTCGATTTGTGGAGATATTTGTGGGTAAACTGGTATAATATTAAAGATTGGTATCTATTTGCATGAGCAGCTTATTCAACAGCAATGCCTATTGCCAGAACTACGATGATTACTGAATCACATTGGTGTGTTCTTAAATATAATTACAAATATAATGTAAACAAACCACGCCTAGACCGTTTAACATATATTCTTGCTAAAAAGCTAGTTCCAGATATGCAATACACTTGGAGAAAATATTGCTATAATCGTGAATTCCCATCAAGGTGGGACACATTCAAGCACGATTGGCAATCTGCAATAGAAAGAGAAATAAATTGAATAGACCTTCATCATACTGATATAAATAACTGTGTGTGTTCGTGTACAGCATTCTTATATAGTCCTTACATGATATGCAAACATTTAATAAAAAAATATTCTGCTGACAAGCCTACATTTTTTCCACAATTTCGTACTACAATACGCTGTCAAAATTACTCGTTCATTGCTTTCAGTAAAGTAAATTTCTCAAGAATTAATTTAAATAATGATTCTTGGGATAATATTTTACAGAATAATAACTTAGAACCTACGCCTGCTTTGAGGACATCGAGTAATAGCACAAGGTCTCTTCTTGAACGCTATGAAGTTATTGAAAATAGAAAAGAAGAATTAAGTTCAGATCTTAAAATGTTTGAGGCATTAATAAAAATTATGAATGATAATATTGAAAATGACAGGCTTTATGAAACCTATAAGACTCTTAGACAGCCTCTCATTGACAAGACTGCTGCTTGTAATGAAGTTCTTAATGCAAGAAGGCAACAGCGAACCTGAAGATCATGAAAAAGCAAAAAATTAGCCTTTTGGTTACAATAAAATAATAATAATGTAGATTGAATTAATAAATTAATCAAAAAAATTTCATATAGTGTATTAATTTTCTCGCATTTGTCTTTTTTATTTGCTTCAAGTTTTTTTTATTCATTATCTACTATTCGAATTTGTTTAAAAAAAAAAAATGTAATTAACATATTATTATTATTTAATAAAGAAATTATTACAAAGATAAAAAATTTAATTAAAGATTTTATGAAAAAACCTTAATATTCATGATTCCGATTTTATCTGAACTTCTAGCTCTTTTGCGGATAAAGCTTTCGCCATATAGTTTTTGCCAAAACTTTAGCTTTATTTTTCTTCTCGTAATATATGTGCTAAAAAATATATATATAAATTCAATACGGAATATATGTAAGTTAGGTTTGAAATTCTAACCGTTTTAATGTTAAATAAAGTTGAAAACTTACGTTCTTCATAGAGTTAAATCACCAGATAAACACATAAATTAAGTAGCAGCCAATATTAATGAAACTAGTTCATTAATCTAGAAGAGTAATTTTTGAAAAAGTAAGAAAAAGTTACAGACACGGTAATTAGATGGCTAGTAAGTAAAAGTTTGAAAAAATGGTAAAATTTAACTTTTATAGATAGCAGTTTAGCCAATTACATAATGATTATCATGAGATCGGAAGATAATCCAAAAGGATCATCGATCACATTATCTCAGAATTTTTTCGCCATGACTAATCTACTAGCAGGATGAAAAACTACCTGATGACCCAGACATTCAGGACCAAACCTCGAACCTCATATTATGCCAAGTTTATACAATTGATACTTTTATTCTATATGAAGAGTACTCAATTGATAAACCCTCTTTAAATATTGGACCTCTTACCACAGAACAAGGCCAAAAATTTAGACATTTACTTGAAGAATTTACAGACCTATTTGCAACCGACATAACTGAATTAGGACGAACCAGCCTTGTTACTCATAGGATTTATACTGAGGATGTACCTCCTATTCGATCTCGCCCTTATTTAATTCCTCCAAGTGAACAAACTTTTGTAAAAGAGGAATTGCAAAGAATGCTGGATAATAAGCTTATACGACCCTCTAATAGCCCTTGGACCTCACCTGTTGTCCTGGTACGAAAGAAAAATGGTAAATTACGATTCTGTGTAGACTACAGAAAACTGAATACCATTACGAAAAAGGATGCTTATCCATTACCACGAATAGACGAGATGTTAAATGCCCTTGCAGGATCCTCTTGGTTCTCTACTCTAGACCTTGCAAGTGGATATTGGCAAGTTGCCATGGAACCACGTGACAAAGAAAAGACAGCCTTTATTACCCGCTATGGCATATATGAATTTAATGTTATGCCTTTTGGACTATGTAATGCCCCAGCTACTTTTCAACAATTGATGGATCATGTATATGATGGGATTGCATGGAAATTTGTAGTCGTGTACTTGGATGATACTATAATATTCTCCCGCACATTTAATGAACATTTGGATCACTTAAAAAGAGTATTCTCCCAAATTAGAAAAGCAGGATTAAAACTTAATCTTGAAAAGTATAATTTCTGGATGAGAAGCTTGGCCATATTATTTCGCCCCAAGGAATTGCTCCAGACCCTCAAAAGATTGATGCAGTAGAGAAGATACAACCTCTTAAAAATGTAACTCAGTTACGATCGTTCTTAGGATTAGTTAGATACTATAGACAAATTATTCAAAACTTCTCTAGCATTGCTAAACCTCTTAATCAGCTACTGCAAAAAGACATTGCATATGAATGGAAAACTGCCCAACAAGAAGCTTTTGAAGCGCTAAAGAAACGGCTTACAACAGCTCCAATTCTAGCCTATTCAAATTTCCAAAAGACTTTTATTCTTGCTACCGATGCTTTATATTTTGGCTATGGTGCTACTCTTAGCCAAGTGGATAGCAATAGGAAAGAATACCCAATTGCTTATGCTAGCAAGAGTCTACAAAAGGAAGAATTAAACTATGGAGCTACTGAATTAGAGTGTGCTGCTGTAGTATGGGCTATTGAACACTTCTATAAATATTTGGGTACTACTCCTTTTGTATTAATAACTAATCACTTTGCACTTAAATGGTTACGAACAGCTGAACCTAAAGAACGAATTGCTCGATGGATCCTTAAACTTCAACCCTATAACTTCGAAATTGTTCATAAACCTGGATGAATCCATTCCAATGTCGATGCTTTATCTTGCTTACCGACTCAGACAATTGCCACCTCTTTTTTATAAATTTAGATTGTTATATAGATTTGTATAACTATATAGAAACAGACAGAATACCTAATAATTTTACAGAAGAAGCTAAAAGACAATTAATTAGACAAGCTAGATATTTTCAGACTAAACATGAATTGTTG